GAGTGAGGAAAAGAAAGGAGTTAAACAGAGCATCGAGGTCTTTTACTTGAGCAACTAGAAAAAGGGAGTTGCCGTGAACCAAGAGGAAAGACTAAGGTCGTGCAGGAAAGATCAGAAATTCAGCGGTGGGGATTTACAGTCTAGATCCCTTTCAACATCCAAATGGAGAGCCCAAGTAGGCAGTCAGATTTATGAGTTCGCAACTCAGGAGAATGGTTGGACTCGGAAATAAATTTTGGGGAGTCATCAATGAATAATAGTATATAAAGCTAAGAGATGATGAGATTTTTGAGGAAATGACAACAGATGGAAAAGAGACCTGGCACAATCTAGTGTTTATGAGTGAACAAAAGGGAAAAAACAGGTAGAAAAGACAGAAGGACCAGCCAATGAGGAGGAGAAGGGGAAGAGTATGGTGCTGGGAAGTTCTGGAAGCCAGGTGAGGATGTGTCCAGGAGGAGGGAGGAAGCCGCTGTGCCACCATGGCTGCTGACAGAGTGTAAAATGAAGACTGGGAATCCTCCTAAGTCAAAGTCATTGGCAACTTTGAAAAGAGTAGTGTCAGTGGTGGAGTGGTAGGGGTGAACGGCTTGTTGAAAAGGTTCAAGAACACATGAAGAGGAAGAAATGCAGTGAGTGAGTACAATGCTTTGAAGGCCATTAGTTGGGAAGAGAGAAATGGGGTTCAAGCTAGAGGAAGAAGTAGGGTTGAGAGAGATTTTTAAAAACAGAAATAACTGCATTTGTACATTGGTAGGAAAGATCCAGTAAGGAGGGAAAAAGTGAAGATGGAGGGTTCATGGGCTCAGTCTGGTAGCATTAAGAAATATCTACATTGTATTGAATGCTTATATGTACTAGATTTTTAATATATGGTATTCATTCCTTAAAACATGAGATATACATATATTTTCATTTTTCCAATGGGGAAATTGAGACTCAGAGGTTGAGTCCCTTGTCCAACGTCACCCAGCAAAGCTAGAGAAGAGCTGAGTCAGAGGGAAGCTCAAGCCATATTGCTCCTGAGGGGACCGACCCCTCTACCAGTCCTAGGCACCAAAGGCACATGTTTATTTACGGTTTCACTGCCTGAAGGAAGAGTATGTGTGCTTACACAGTCATGCCTAGAGACTTCTACCTTCTTTTGGAACAGGAGACAACAGAGAAGTTGACCCAAACCTTGATATGTTGGACATCTATGAATAATGTCAGGTATTGGAACATACAGAGGGATAGAAATCAGGAGTCCTGGGTTTTAGTCCAACTGTCCCCATAAGGATATATTCCTTCCGGCAAGTCAATGAACTTTGAGATTTAGTGTCCTCATTAGCAAAATAGGAATAAAATAATCTGTCCTGTCTGCTTCTTGGGTGGTTGTGAAAACATCACCCTAAATCCCCCGCTTCTCTGTGGCTCCAACAATATGTGAGACTTTATGCCATTTCCAAAGTATTTGACATATGGTGGCACCAGTGGTTCTCCAGCTGAAGCAGGGCAGAGCCCCCAGGGAGTTTTTACAAATACTGCTCTCCTGAGAGGATGTGGAGCAGCTAAAACTCAAAAACATGCTAATGGGAGCATAAATTTGTACAGCCACCTTGGAAAGCAGTTTGGTAGTCGCTATTGAAGTTGAACCAACATCTCCCTGTGATCCAGTGATTCTAATCCTACGTTTATACCCAAGAGAACTGTAGGCACATTTAGGCACATGTGCACGGAGGGACCTTACAGAAATGTTTGCAGCGGTATGACTGGCGATTGCTCAAGCCATAGACAACTCAAATGCCCGTCAATAGCAGAACAGATTAACAAGTTGTGGTGTATCTATACAATGGTATACTGAACAGTATTAGAAGTTTTCACATTATGGCTCCAAGCACACCGATGAATCTCATAGATACAGCATTCAATGAGAGGAAACTGACATAAAAGATTTCCCTCAATCGAGCCCCGCATCAGGCTCTCTGCTCAGTGGGGAGTCTGCTCCCCGCTCTCTCTCTGTCTGCCGCTCTGCCTACTTATGATCTCTCTCTCTGTCAAATAAATAAATAAATAAAAATAAATAAATTAAAAAAAAAAGATTTCCCTCAAAATATGAGATAATCAGGGGCACGTGGGCGGCTCAGTGGGTTAAGCCTCTGCCTTCAGCTCAGGTCATGGTCTTAGTGTCCTGGGATCAAGCCCTGCATCGGGCTTTCTGCTCAGCAGGAAGCCTGCTTCCCCCACTCTCTCTGCCTGCCTCTCTGCCTACTTGTGATCTCTCTCTCTGTGTCAAATAAATAAAATCTTTTTTTAAAAAATGAGATAATCATAAGATAGTGAAAATCAGAAAAATCATGAATCTCTATGGTGTTAGAAGCCAGGACCTTTAGAGAAGACAAAATGTCTTCTCTAATATCCAAGTGTGTGTGTGTGTGTGTGTGTGTACCTCAATGATGGTTATAAAAATGAAAAACACATATTGGATAATTCATTGAGTTGCACATTTATGACTGTGTACATTTTTGTCTTTGTATTTTACTTCAATTAAAAAAAACTGCCTGGTTCCTGTCTCAGATCAATTAAAAATCCCTGGGAGTGAGAGGCGCCTGGGTGACTCAGTCAGTTGGGCATCGGACTCCTGATTTCGGCTCTGGTCATGATCTCAGGGTTGTGAGATCGAGCCCTGCCTGGAGCTCTGTGCTGGACGTGGAGCCTGCTTAAGGTTCTCTCTCTTCCTCTCCGTCTGCCCCTCTTCCCCCGGCTCACATGCACACACTCACAGTCTTTCTCTCTCTCTTAAAAAAAAAAAAAAAAATCCCTGGGAATGAAGCCCTGGCATGGGCACTTCTAGGGGTATATCCAGGGCTGAGCAAAGGGCTCTCCTCCATTGTTGGTGACCTCCCCTCCAGGAGGGAAGACTTAGAACTATGCGTCCGGACGCTGACTGGGTATGCCTCAGAGTGGTGGGGAGGAGAAAAAGCTAGAGCACCCTGTATGCAGATGGCCAACAGCAAGACTGGCCCTGGGGACACACCTCTGAGGGTGAGGACGAGGCTCCTCACCTGGGACAGTGCCTGATGACTGCCTTCAGGGACTGCCTGACTCCTGAATTTATTTCAAACTCACTGTTCAGAACAGTGGCTGCAGATTTTAGTTATTTTCATTTGTCTGGCCTTCTATGGAGATTTGGACTCTTCATTTATACTTTTGTGTTTTACTGTAGTGACCTGCTTTAAATCTTTTCTGTCTTCCTTTGCATATATAAACTTTTCATCCATAAGAGATACAGTCATATCCAAAGGCTGTACCATCACATGCCAGGGGGTCTGGACTGCTTTTCTAATGCTTGTCCCACATGTGACAGACAAGCAGATTCTTTTTTTTAAAGATTTTTTTTTTTTTTTTTTTGCCAGAGAGAGAGAATGCAAGAGCACAAGCAGGGGGAGTGGCAGGCAGAGGGAGAAGCAGGCTCCCCGCTGAGCAAGGAGCCTGATGTGGGACTAGATTTCCAGGACCCTGGGATCATGACCTGAGCCAAAGGCAGCTGCTTAACTGACTGAGCCACCCAGGCATCCTGGACAAGCAGATTCTAAGTGCACTCCGCTCTTAATCTTTGCTGTTTTCCGCTTTACTCAATAGAGAAAAGGGTTATAAACAATGAAAACCTTTATTGTCTCTTGATCATTATTCTGAGTTTATAAAAGGAAACATTTATGGGCCAAACTCTGACATTGATAGAGATCCCACACTTTAAGCATTTTTTTGAGGCTTTCCCAAAATAATACCTCTACAATTCACCCCTAAAAAGCATTTTAACAGGGCTGTGACCTCTTCACATTTATTTAAAATAGCTGGAGATAGCTTTTCTAAGACTATTTTTAATTATAAAATATTCAATGTATTATCAAGAGAAATAAACTGTTATAGCTCTAAACTTAAAATTTTAGCTTATCTTACTAAATATTTTTTTTTTTTTTTTTGACACAGAGAGAGAGACAAGTGAGAGACAGAACACAAGCAGGGGAAGTGGGAGAGAGAGAAGCAGGCTCCCTGCTTGTGGGACTTGAACCCAGGACCCTGGGATCATGATCTGAGTGGAAGGCAGACACTTAATGCCTGAGCCACCCAGGTGCTCCTAAAGATTTTATTTTTAAATAATCTCTACACCCAACGTGGGGCTCAAACTCACAACCCCGAGATGGAGTCACATGCCCCACTACCTGAGCCAGTCAGGCGCCCCAAAGCAAATTTTATTGTATAGATTTTGATATAAGGGGAATTGAATATATAAATATCTTTTAAATGCAATAATGTTGTTCATATGATCATTATTATTTCTCAGAAAATCTGTACTTAAATTTATAGTGTAGGGGAAAAGTTGTTGCTTCTTGTGGTTTATCATTGGATATGGTTGATTTCAATGTTTTCATTTTTGTCTATCTGCATTTTTTTTTTTGCTTCAGTAAAAAAAAAGCTGAGAAAAAAATAGAAAAATCTGAAAAACAGGCATCCCTCTCTATGTAGGAGTTAAGGTCTTAATAGCAAAGCAGCTAAACTTCTGGAACCTGTAGAATCAGTATCACCTGTCAGATACCGAATTCTCGTGCCCACTCCAGACTTGCTGAGTTAAAAACGCTGGGCGCAGGCCCAGCAATTTGCTTTCACAAACCCTTCAGGTGACTCTGATCTAAAGAAGAGCATGAGAAACCACGGTGCCTAATTTGGCAGGCCCTGAAGTGATCCACTCTGGGAATAGGTGATTTGTTTGATAAGTAAGTCTGGTTTTTGCTCCACAGCTCTGCCCACTCATCGGGCCCCCAGTCAAACCTAGACCAGTAGTTCTCAGCCCTGGCTGGGAAGCTTTTTAAAATCGTGTCTCCCCAGATGGGTCCTGGGCATCCAGGTGCTTCTCATGTGCGCCAGGGTTGATGAACTCTGTTCTATATTCAGGTACTTTTGTGGTTGAGACAGATGATTGTTAACACCTGCTCCCCAATTCTTTGGCTTATTTCCTGCAGGCCCCGTGAAGCAGAACTCAGGCCTCCAGTGTCTGCCTGTCCGGACCTAAAGGTGTTTCCTGAGGGCCAAGGCGGCCCTGCCTCGCAGGTATCTCCGCAGACCACAGCAAGGCACCGAAGGCGCGACGCTCCCTCCTGGCACGCACCCGGGCCGTGGGCTCCTCCGCTCCCCCTCCAACCCCAGCTCTGCTGTCCAGGCCGGATGCTGAGTGAGATAATGTGAGGTAAACACTTTATTTGGTGAGCAGAGAGAAAATGTCGACAAATGCCAGCTATCCTTATCTTCGTTACCTAAACCCTGAGGTCTCCTTTTCATTGCCAGCTCACAAAATACCTACTTGGAAGGCCCATCGTGGTGGTTTTATCTTGAAATGCCTACCCCTCCCCCCCAACTTTCCTGCGAAGCTGGGAGGGACCACTCAACACACTCATGAGGTGTGTTCTAAGCCAGTGGTCCTTAAAATGTGGTGGCCGGGGGGATATGTGTCAGCAGCATGAGTATCACCTGGGAACATTAGAAATGCAAACTCCTGTCACCACAAGGTGTAATAACAAGAGAGAGGGCAAGAGGAGACTTTTGGAGGTGATGGAGAGGTTTATGGCACAGAGTGTGGTGATATAGGTCCATGAACGTATGTTTCTCTCCAAACGCATCAAGTTGTATATGTTAATATCTATAGCTTTTTGTATGTCAGTCATACCTCCATAAAGTAGGTGTTTTTTGTTTGTTTGTTTTGTTTTGTTTTTTTTAAAGAAATGCAAACTCTTGGGCCCCACCCCAGAACTTCTGCGTCAGAAACTCAGGAGACAGTGTGCGGCCATCTGTGTGTTGTTGTGATGGCGTCCTCACGTCTGACCACTGCCGCTCCACATCGGTGCCTCGCAAGATTGTGAGAAATGCCCAACCTCGGGCCCCAACTCAGGCCAGCGGAATTAGAATCCCAGGTTCCTGGGATCACACTGGAGTTTGAAAAGCCCAGCTCGAAGCTTTCCCCCTTGATCTGGTCAGTGATAGAACACCAGAAATGTGCCTTCTTGGATTGCGGCTTCTTAGCTCCCCACAGAAAGGCCGTCACAAGATAGTAACTTAAGTGTGAGAAACACAGGTATGAACTATCGTTCTATATTTGTGGAAGACAATTTATGCTGCCACTTCCTACCCCCTCGGGTAAAGATTCATCCTGCCAATTTTCTTTAGAGCAATCGCAGTGTCTGTTTTGTTTTGTTTTGTTTTTGTTTTACACAGGAGCTGAAGTCAGGAAAGTCCTATGTAAGATGGCAGGATGCTTTGATTGTTACCTCAGTTCAGAGAACTAGTCTGAGTTCTCTCCTACAGCTCTCCCTTCTCCTGTAAGGGACTTTTGCATTTTAAGTCTTGGGGTAACAATTCTGTTATGACTGCATTTTTTATTATAAGTGGCCTCAAATACTGTGTGAGAAGATAAGGGGTTGATAAAAGTATGTGATTGATGCCTGGAAGCCTCTCAGCCTTTATAAAGCCTAACGATGTCAAGAGCTCAGTTCAAAACCCTCTTTCTCCGTGAAGCTTTCCTGGCAGCTCTCCGCCAGCTGTAATTAACACGACCTCAGATAACAGTATTTGTTTTCTGTCATCGTCACAGATACCAAGTATTTCCCAGTATTTTGTGAGTTAATGTTTGTAAAGTGCTTGAAGAATATAGGAACATAGAACATACTCAGATTACAGTTGACCCTTGGAAGACACAGGGTGGAACAGTGCCGGTCTCCTTACATGTGTTTTTTGACACATACAGTAAATACAGTATATAATGCATATAACATACAAAATATGGGTTAAGTGTTTCTGTTATCGGTGAGGCTTCTGGTCAACAGTAGGTTATCAGTAGTTATGGTTTTAGGGAGTCAAATTACCTGTAGATTTTCGATTGTGCCCCCACCCCCAACATTATTCAGAGGTCAACTGTACTACTATTAGTGTTGTTGTTGTTGTTTATATATACTTACATGTCATTCCTGTTAGATCTCAAGTGAGGAGAGGGCTTTATCTACTGATGGAGTCCAAGGAAGCCTGGTTTATGCTGTACTCACAAGAGGTTCTTACACATAACATTAAGGAGAGTAAATAAGAGCTTTGGAAAGAAAAATATGTTTTATTGCCACAGTTGGAGCATTAGGTCTCAGTCAATCCTAGCAGGAGAGAGAAGCTGTTGTGCCAACAAGGGGAGCACATCCCTTTGCCCCCGTCCCAGAAGGTATCAGAAAAAAAAAGGAAGTGAAGGATAGATGTCACCAAAGTGTCAGTGAAACTCAATTCAGAAGAAACTCTGACCAAAACCAAAATGGAACCAACTGAAAATGTTAATGGTCATTTTTAGTAAGTCATAAGAATTTGAAGAAAGGCTATTTTAATAAGTAGAACAATTTCATTTTCCATGCAGCCTAGGAAATTAAGATCTAGATGGTTTCTTTTACACAAGCTCTGGTCAAATTTGTACCTCTTTTGTAGAAAGCAGTACGGTTTCATCTTAAATAACTTGTGGGGGAAAAAAGCAAAAGGGATAATGTCTTATGTATCTGTTGACAACAGAAAAAACACACTGGATGTCATATGTGGGGGTCACCTGACATAGTACTCTGGAAAAAGTTCAGGCCAGAGAAGAAAACTGAGGAAGGACTCGGATTTGCATGATGTGTAGAAGTGGGTTCACGGTGAAACTAGCAAAGCCTGAGATTCGCAGCTCCACCCTGAAATACCAGACTCTTCCAAAGCCCCAAGATGGCCCCTGGCAATTTTGTGTCAGTGATGGTATGTTCGTGTTCATAAATGAACTTCTCAAATTGTATAAGCGTCAGCCCCTCCAGGTCTGCTCCTGAAGAAATGCCTCTCTGTATAGCTCTTGGCTTTCTAGAACATTTGTAATCATCTCGTTCCACCTCCCCAGACAGGGGGTGCAACAAGGAGGGGATGCGCTCGTGGGGAAGGAGGGCCTTGGAGAATGGCTGGGAGAGGAGAGACCACCACAGCGGGGTTCAAATTGATGCATTGTAGAGAATAGGGTGGCTTCCTTCAAGGGTTTCCTGTCCTGTCCTAGCGTGGTGATTCTCCGTCGAAGGTTATTCCCCCTGCCCCCCAGACGCCATTTGGCAGTATCTGGAGACATGCTTTGTTGTCTCCAGATGGGTTGGGCTGTGGAGATGCTACTGGCATCTGGTGGGTGGAGGCCAGTGATGTTGCTAAACACCCTGCAGGACCACAGAGAGGGATCTGGCCCCAGAGCTCTGTAGTTCGGATGTTGAGAAATCCTGTTCCAGGGTGTTCCTTTTCCTGCAGGTCACTGGCAACTCAGGTTGTCAAAATGAACAACGAGCAAACAGTGTAAGGTAACTTCTCGGAGAGGTTTTGCAGTTTCGCCATCCCCGTCAGCTACTGTGTGGCAGGTATCTGGCTCTTCTTTAGTGACTTTCACTCCTACCCACCCTCTGCCCCCCACATACACATATGCAAAGTCTGTGAGGTTGGTGGCTTTAATGAACGCCCCTGGTGAAAATCTGGTTCTGGCAGCCATATGGGAGAGAGAGGCCCTCCTCTCACCAAGGGACTGGGCTGCGTATGGCCTCAGGGTTATGGGAGAATCCCAGGCCCTGGAGTGGGGCTTTGCAGTCTAAAAGCATCAGCCATTTACTTCAATGCCATGAATGTTAATGCAAGTTGATGGAAATGTCCATACCCCCTCCAGGCTGCTGAACCCTACTAGTTCAAATCCCAGAATTCCCAATGGACTGCTCCAAATTCCTGCCCTCTGACCTCAGCTGGTCCTCCATTGCCTCTTGGCCTTCCTTCAGGTCACCTTCTGATTGTGTCTCTGCCTTATTCCTATGACAGCTCCCTTCCAGGGCCCCAAACCATTCTCTCCCTGTTTCCCTTCTGCAGATGGCCGTGCCTCTTGCTTTCCTGAGATGAGTAACACAATAATTACAGCTGCTACCATTTATTCCACAGCTGCAAGCACCAGGCTGGTGAAGAAGAGGTGTTCCATCTGCAAGGGGCATGTCGTTAACCCCGCTTTGCCGATGAGGAAACCAGAGTAGAGGCCTCTCACTCTTCCAAGTCACAGTATGAGCATTTGGTCCCAGGCCTGTCCCTCTCCAGTATGAACTCCCTATACTTCTCTCTTTTGCAAATCTGTCTCTGTCTTTTTCTTTTTTTCCTTTTTAAAGATTTTATTTATTTGTCAGAGAGAGAGAGAAGGCACAAGCAGGCAGAGGCAGAGGAAGAAGCTGGCTCCCTGATGAGCAAGGAGCCCGATGTGAGACTTGATCCCAGGACCCTGGGACCATGACCCCAGCCGAAGGCAGCGGCTTGACCGACTGAGCCACCCACGCATCCTGTCTCTGTCTTGATCCCTAGGTCTTGGAAGAAGAAAAGTTCTTTCAACCCAAAGTTTCCTCCCCAGTCTTGATCCCGGTTTTCTCCTGTCTCCCACTGAACATCACTCCATCTCCCGTAGCGCTGCTCTCCCAACACAATCCTGTCTCCTCTTCTTTGCTTCACTGTCAACTTGTTAAAAGGAAGAGTGTCTCAGTTTGACCCCTCTAGTCACCTATTCTCTGGGCAAAGCCTCATTACCTTCCCTGGTTCTGTGTTTCCTTGGGTCCCCTTTCCTTCCTGGATGGGCACCATGTCCACCTCTTACCCTATAGTTTCTTGGTGTTGGGGACAGCATCCTGAAACACAAATAGTGATGGTCATGACCTCACACTGAGAACTGGACCAAAACAAGACAAACCCTCCCAGGGGCCAGAGAGATGGCTGAAGTAGGGCTCCCAGGGAAATTCCTTTGGGCTGGAGTTCTGTTCAGCATAATGACGACACACTATTGCCATTTTTAGAGCAGTGATTACCAAATGGAAATACCCTACTTCACCAGAGACTGAGATCTGAAGTCACTAGCTTCATATCTAAATGTCATTCGAATCTTCACTGTAACCAAAGCTCTGATCAACAGAAACACATGACTATAAGCTAGGGGATTCAATTCCTGTTTTTTCTTCCTGTTTGTCCTCTGCTAAAATAAAAAAAGAAATACCTAAGAAAAACTTCTTGATATTGTTATCCTGATAGTATATTACTACTACATACACGGAGATGAGTTAAATGAAACAAATAATTTTTGAGCTGTTGGCATCAAATGCCCGTCAGTTTTCAAAAAGCAAGTAAATAACATCTGGGCATGAAATCTCTATTTGATGGCAAAGATCCCTTCTCTGTAATTCCATTTTCTTGCCTTCTCAACTGAAATGTCTATAGGAACTTCTGTAAGCTGGTATTAGCTACTATCTATCTTCATCTGTATTGGTTCATTCCTTCATTCAACAAATACTTATCAAAACTCTGCTTAGTCCTTGGACAGGATAGTGTCTGACCTTAGGAAGTATAGTCTAATCTGGCACTTACCCATCAGTATGATGGGTGCAGGACAAGATAAATGTTCAATGTGGTAGGAATATTTACAGAGACACTCCCCCCCCCCCCAGTCTTGGGGGTGGCTGGTCAGGGAACATTTCCAGGAGAAAGTAATATTTAAGGTAAAACCTAATGGCATTAGGTGGAGCTGGAGGGGTAAAGTTAGGGGAGGGGTTGTTCCAATAAAAGAGAAAGAGTTCTAGGAGACTCATAGCAAGAGAGAAAGAGACCTAGAGACAGAAAGGAGAGAGGTTTAGGGAACTGAAAGAAGTTTATTCTTATTGGATCAGAAGAGGAGAATGGAGAGAGACCTTCATCATCATCATAGCTAATACTTGAGGTACATAAAGTGGGTGCCATTGCCATCCCCATTTTACAGATGTGGGAACTGAAACCCTGGAAGTTTAAAGTAACTTGCCCAGGTCATCAGTATGTAGCAGATCCCAATGCAACCCAGTATGTGTGTCGTTAACTGACACATTACTGCCTCCCATCCTGCCTTTGAGATAATTTTCCAAACTCCTTCACAGCAATGGTTTGGGGGTCCCAAAAGAAAAGAGTAGGTTGAGGCAGTGATATTTAGTGGGGAGTCTGTGTGGAAATCTTAACCCAAGAAAGCCTGCCCTCCCTCATGTTCTACTCTCTGCAAATCAGATTAAGGTAATGGTACTGTTCTTCTGGGGAGAGTTTTCATTTAAATGGGGGTGGGGAGGGGTAGGAGGGTAGACAACAAGTTTTGAGTACCCTATCTGGTGGGGTGGGACAAAGGGAAACATTTTGGGGTAGGATCCTAGTCTGTGCCCCCTAGGGGAACAACTACAGAATGGACGGCCTACTCGTAATATCAGAAGCAATTTTTCGGCGTACAGGGGTTGGTATGGATCACTAAACTCTTAATTTTTTTTTAATTAGGGAATGACTTAAGCTTTTGAAAGCTGCACATTAGAATGTCCCTCCCCACCCCACCCCCAAATACTAATGACATAAGTGAAAATTTCTCAAATTGACTCAAGAAGTGAGTTGGCTCATTCAGAGGTAGCTGAGTTTTGTCTAATTCAGTGACTAAACTAGAACAAACAACAGCTTCATATCCCTCTAAGGGGGGAGCCAAAAGGGTTTAATGCCATAAACTTTCCAAGCAAATACTTCAAAGTGGTGAAGTGTATGAACAGTTCACCCAAGCATGGTGTATCATGGTAAGACTTCTTAAGACCACATAGTTTCTCATGGACAATTACCTACTAGTTAGATTAAATCTTGAGCCAATGAGAAACCCAGCATTTGTTTATGACTGGTTCTTCCTAGAATAAAAAGATTTCAGTTTGGAAAGGACTCTATACCACACTTCCTGAATCAAATGCCTACTTTTCCAGTTTCATCCCAGTTGCCTATTTCCTTCTCAAGAGAGTAGACCGAGATAGGTAATATTTTAGTTGCTAAGACTGGCTTGAGTTAAAATGCCCATCTTGGGGCACTTGTGTGGCTCAGTCAGTTAAGCATCCAGCTCTTGATTTTGGCTCAAGTCATAAACTCAAGGTTGTGGGATTGAGCCCAAGTGCTGGGCTCAGCGCAGAATCGGCTTGTCCCTTTCCCTCTACTTCTCTCTCTCTCTCTTTCTCTCTCTCTCTCTCCAAAAAATAAATAAGATCTTTAAAAAAAATTCAGGAATGTCATTTATATGATTAACACTTTTTTCCCCCATAGGGACATAGGCTGTCCCTGCCTTTTAGATTTATATTGTAATCAGAAACACAATCATTAGCAACAAACCTTTACCCTTGTTTGTTTCCCTGTTGCCATTGGGTCTACTTGTCACTGTAGCTGGAAGAAATATGATGTGGTGCTTCCGCCTTGGGGTCATTGAAAGAGTGATTGAGTGGAGGAGAGGGGAAGAGGATGACTATAGAAGCCCAACCCTGACCCAGCCGATGGTTTCAAGAACACTGGAACAATGATCATGCCATGGTGATTCTCATCCCATAAACAATTATTCATTCAAACAAATGGAGACTTTAATGAGCCATATATTAGGAGGATATAAGGTCTGACCTTGAGCATTCACATTTCAGACTCCTCCCAAAGTGGGCCCAGCAAAGGTGCTGAAAAGGCCTGAGGCTCATCTACAGTCAGCGCCTGCTTTCTCTTTTCACATGACAGAGCAGATGTGTTATTTTCCATACTCCTCAGGCCCAACTTGCCTATAGTAGTGAACTATAAAGGAACAGACTCCCAGTGACTTAGACAAAAGAGGGGATTTATTAGAAGGGTCAGATAACAGGAAGTTCAACAGCTCGGTCGCAGGAAGGGCAGGGCATCAGTTATGAGGGAACC